TGTTACAGAGGAACTGTGAGCGACTGCCCAGGCAACCTGATATCCCTGTCATTAGGTAACATTGAATCTTTCTGGGGTCTTTGATGGAGTTAAAGACTAAATAATTAAACATAGTTTTCATTAGTTATGATAGAAGCAAATTAGGTATAAAACTTTAGCCTTCCAAGATAAGATTAGACAATATTTTCTCTAATTTTGCCAAATACAAATAGACTAGATATTTGTATTTGTAACTATAATTTGTATTTGTAACTATAATTCTTCCTTGATAGCTGTTTTTGTTGTATGTAAGTTTACTATGTTAAAGTTAAGACCTCCTTTTAGACGAAAGGGGAAAATACTGTAGAATAATCCTTCTGTACACTGTGTGAATATATGTCACTGTAATTGGTTTAATAAACAAGCTGACTGAACAGGATAAAGTTAGACAGGAAAGCCAAACTGAGAATGATGGGAGGAAGAAGGGTAGAGTCAGGAGACACCAGCCAGCCCCTGAGGAAGCAAGAAATGTAGAAAATGAGTTAACAAGACATGAGCCATGTGGCAAAGCATAGATAAGAAATATGGGCTAATTTAAAGTAAAAGAGCTAGCTAGTAACAAGCCTGGGCTATCAACCAAGCATCTGTAATCAATATTAAGCCTCTGAGTGATTATTTGAGAGTGGCTGTTGAACAAGAAAACTCTGCCTACACACCCTCTTCTTTTAGCCCATCTAATAGCTCATCCTTGGCTTCAAAGCACCCCTCTGAACCATATCTCTTAACTCTGCCTTCCCTGCCTCATACTCCTGACCATTCAGTCTTCCCACCATTGCCTTCTTTCTCTCCCTCAACCTCTACTCTACATGATCCCTCTTCCTCATCCCAAAAGACCACCCCAGAACCTCATTTCTCACCCCTGTCCTTGCCTATATCCTCCTTTTGTACAGGGTGCCTTATCCTACTAGCAAGTGCATCCACAACCTCCATTTTGTATGTACACTATTGGAACCATTCCAAAGTTCACTTTACTGACCACTTGGATCCTAATGACCATACATATTTTTCTTATATAACCCTGGCAAGCCTAGCTTTGTCTCCCAATCAACTGTCTCCCAATCAATTACATACCCTTCCAAAAGTCACATTTAATGAGAAGTGCATTCCACTGCCATAATATATCTCTCTGGTCCAAAGTAAATTGTTAGGTTCCAGGCCTTACTCTCATCATAGGTATAAGAGTAATGAGAGGATTTCATGAATTCTATTTTCACTGCCCAGAAACTATCCATAAAACTCATAACTAACTACACCAACTCACAGACTTTTTATAATAAAGGAACATAAAATTGGCATGCAATAGTTATAGTCTAGGTTTATTGACCACTGCTTAAGCGGGAGGTATGATAAAGGAAAAACATGCTGTCTTATACTAACAAGTCTTCAAAAATACAACAAAATCTCTAAAACATCAAGCATGCCAGTGATTTTTTGAGAATAAGAAACAAAAAGAGGATTTAGTTCATGGAATTTGAAGCAAATAGCTGGTCATCTTGCCTGGTTACTTTCCTCTCAGGGACTATTCATACTCATCCATCTGTTTCTTCCTCTTGGTTCCTGCATTTTTTTTTTTTTTGATTTTTCGAGACAGGGTTTCTCTGTGTAGCTTTGCGCCTTTCCTGGGACTCACTTGGTAGTCCAGGCTGGCCTCGAACTCACAGAG